CGTACTCCTAAACTACCGGATTTCAATAACAAATCTAGTTCCTCCCCAAATTTTACCACCTGGACGTTTCTTATTATGTCCAAACTAGCACATTGCAATTCATCTGCCCTCAGTGAACCAAAACTCATCGATGCACCAGTTCTACTGAAACACCTTATGAACATAAAGCATTTGCCACCTAAGCTACTGACCTCGACAACCTGTGTCAACCTGAGAAGCAGTAAGAAATACCACCGAGGCCCGGATCACAAAAGCTGATATTTGCTACCGCTGTACTCCTAATCTCTAGTGGACTGTCGCCCGGTACCACGGGCTAAAGCAGACCAATGGCGATTTAGGAATAAGAGACCCTCATGTCATGCCCTAAAATGATCCTCCTTGATGGGCGTCCCACAAAATACATAGCCTGAAAAATCTCTTTTGAGGGCACGTCCCTACATTGGAAAACCTTTGTTAAATTCGTGGATTATTGGGACTTAGCTACCCACAAATATCTTCAATCGATCACTTGTACTGTCATTGTAGTGCAAGACAATTTTCGATTGAGTCCATTATCACCTTTGCGTAGCTGACGTCCATTTCTCAATTCAGCAAAATACTCACACAGAGCGCCAAGACGGCCTCAGTCAGTTCAAGCCATGATATCCTGGCTTTCGCCACAACAAGACGACAACATGCATTTCTATGTTCTCCAAAACGCCTGCAGTAAGCCGGTGCTCCATTTCTACATTCCGAAGCATCGCAAAAGATATGTGACTCCTCATTTGACTGATTCATTTCTCAAGGTCACAGACGACGCGGAAACGATGCTTTCGCAACCATTTCAAAAGCATGCAGGAATTTGATCAAGACAGTGGTTTCATGCTTAGGTATTTCGTCATCCCAGCATAGGCTCAATTTGCATAATATTTGTAGTGGTTGTTTAGCAGGTAAGAGTATAAGTGTTAAGAAGCCTAAAGAATCATATTATATGGCTAACACTGAAAGGATTCTACGCCTGGTTTTTGGTTTATCAGGTACTTAGACGTCACCTGTTCAACTAAGCAAATAGCATTTCCAAGATTCTCTGTTAACATTAGTTAGTAACACACGTAGAAACACCTTTCGAAAAGTCTGGGAACTATACTTGATCTTTCGCTACCAGTGACTTCAAGTCTTTTCAACGGTATAATTAGAAGAGAAAAAAGATGACATGGCACAGAATGGAAGATGAGTTTATTAACACTCAGAAGCCATTTAGGTTATATCACTACTCTTCCACCATAAAAGATTAAATGCTCCTCTATACTGTTCCGGAATCTTCACCTGCAAAAACATTTCTTTTATATCTTCAGTCAGCTCTACAATGCCAACTCGAAGAAATAAGAGTATCCCAACTAAACCACTTCGAACGTAAAGGAATAAAAAACTAGACTGTTGATAATATTTCGGCCCCGTAATGATTGATCACTCAAAAATATACCACTGTGCCTAACCGAGGAGCCGCTTTAACCTAATCATGCTGTGAAACTCCATTCATCGTCACTATGCTGAGTCTTGAGTAATACCTTTTAATTACCAGCCTATTAACAACCTTTTCTATAGCAAGGGACGTGTCTGACACGCGATTCACAAGTACATACGTTTCCACACATCCCAATTGGCCACAAAATTGTGCTAGAATTATCCCAAAATAGACCCTTACGTGATCGTTTCTATGTTCAAAAACTGTTAATGCGGTAGGGTTTGATGGCGCACTTTGCATCAACTTACATTACACTTATTTCGCGAAGGACACTTTCTTACAGTACGGCCTAATTTGAGACGAACATAACGAGCATTTAAATTCCTCACAGTTTGTCTCCTCTCGTCGAGGCTCATATCCTTCATTTACAGAGATTCTCCAAAACTATGAGAACCCTTACACAAAATGCTGATTTCAGGCGCATCTAAATCACTTTGCGGCCGCCTTGTGGACAGATTACCGTTTGATTGGTCGGAGAATTTCGCCATGAGCTGACATCAGTTAGAAAGCCATTGGAAAACCTGTGAGTACTGGACAGCTGTCCCGTCCTAATTTGGGATTCTTCAGCAGTACGCAACCACCGGAGTTCGGACCCAGGACCTTCCAGTTACAAGGCGAGCTGGTGAACCATTAAGCCACTGGTACCCGGTCCAATGACCCATGAATTCTAACTTCTGCCAATTCACGATAAAGCGTGACCACTTCGCAATGTATTCTCCGTACTGTTGAAGGGTGCCAAACCTGGGCGAAACAGCTATCCAGTACTTCCGGGTTTTCCAATGGTCTAGTAGTTCATGTCAATACATGACGAAATCTTCCAACCAATCAAACAAAAAAATCCGCATTAATAATTGAGAATACCGTGTCCCTGAAGTCCTCCTCTCCTTGGTATCTGAGCTGCATCTACGCAATACCAAGTACCATGTTCGGGAAACTCCAGCTCTTTTTTCCACAAACTTCGCCAAGACATCAAATTTCTGCCCGCTACCGACAACTAAACTTATTGGGGAGTTCAAATGAAAAATCTATCCGGTGTTACTTGGCGTTACATGGGTGTTACGAGGTCTTATCGCAAAATCGGTGACACCTTCTGTGGTCATACTACTGGGCTGAGAATATCTTATAAGTTCATCCGTAAGTGAGCAGGCAATAGTGTGTTGCCGCCCAAACAAATGGTAAATCATTTGCATGGCCCTTTCATACCCGATGTTCTAAGGAAGTGCCACACCGGCCTTAACAACATTTCTCGGCATTCCTTAGAAAAATTGCAAAAATCATGTCAACATTTGCTCCTTGTCACGCAATTCAGTCCTAATAATACTTAGAAACTGACTAATAAACGTTATACGCTGACTGAGGTTGCCATCCAACCACGGTTTGTCATTTATAGGCATCCAAAGGTTGTCAAAAATAGAGCCAAAAGATTCCTTTAATTCTAAACCAAACTCGTCCTTTTTCCCACCTCTTAAACAATCATTCTCTATCTCAAACCCACCCGCAAGCTGAGAAGTGATCTGTCGTAACTTCTCCTCTAGTTCTAACTATCTTGGGAGTTTATCCTCATATTATCAATTCAATGAAAAATCCTTATAATTACTGCGACTATCATATAAGTCAAGCAAAAAGACGCTGACATTTTCAATTCTTACTTCTCAGGAACTTCATCAGACAAAGATTTTGGTAAAACCGAATCCACTTGCAACATATTGAGACGCGAAATCACTTAATGTAGCTGCGCGTGTACAATTCGGTGTAACTATTCTTTCAGATGTCTGTTTGGGAACTAAGGTGGTTGTGTGGATAGTTTGGCAGAAAACTCACCTTCTTCCGGAAAGCTTAGCAATCGCGTAGAGTAAACCTAGTGGTGATTCTTCCTTTAGAGCTCTCAGCTGAGCGAATGAACAGTAGACAGTAGACGCCGTTGCTCCAGATATATCTTTCATGACCATTTTGAATACCTTACACACCTGCAAGCCTATATGCCTGGTAAGAGAGAAGAGAACACTCGCCCGATATCTAAATCCATCAGTCACAACAAACTGATGTAAAGGACACCTGTAATCATTTCGGTGAAGAAAAAAAGTCTTATGGTTCTTCTCATCCTAACTTATTTCTTTTGTGGGTGCAATCAGTTCCGTTTACTCCAAAAAACTTGCGTTGAAGATGATCCATATCGTGGTGAGCGTAAATCACTCGACAAATGAAACCCATGCTATCATCCACAACACAAACTGGTCCCATTCATGTCGTTAGGTGAATAAGATCCTCTAAACTATTGATTTCTATTGAACTCTGTATTTAATTTTCAAGAAGCTTACGGTGATCAGTTCTACTCTGCATATTTCTCAAATCACCATATAGCACGACTTAATCTAACCAAATCAATTATTTCATGCATATCAGCATTCCTTTTAATTGTAGAATACGCCTTTTACCTGCTGACAGCCGATATCTTGGTGTGCCACTTGAGAAAAGGATGTGAGTGATTGGGTGCTTGTGTGGTTTCTTAACATATGACCTTATGTCCCTTAGCTATGTAACAAGGTCTTATTCGAGATGTACATCGAACACCTCTTTGTACTGAGCTCTCTTAATCCTACATATGTAGCTAACTTACTCTCTGCTCGTCAAACCGGTACCTTTTGTTACGTGTTTGCCTGAGAACTGCCTGCACGTATTGATATTTCACCGACCCACGTCTACAGAGTAAACAGTTTCAAACAACTCGCTATGAAGTTCTTGACTCCTAAAAACTTAATAAAAGGTTATTTCTTTCTTTTATGAGTTCATCAAAAGCTCGTTGGAACTTCACCCAGTTAAATATAGGGGACTACAAAGCACAATTCATTGGAAAACAGATAACACCATTCATATAACACATTGTGTGCAGTTGACTTGGTTATGGGATAAAAACTATTAGTGAACACAATGCACTGCATTCAGGGAAACGAATGAAATCAGTTATTTTAAATACCACTCTTATGAAATGTTGGATTCTATCAAAGTACTCGAAAGATATTGACGAGTGACTAATTCGTTGTACATTATTTTCGCTGAATCTAAACAATGTTTCGCTGTGAAAAACATGTCAATAGTCTACTCAAATGCATTAGAGTAAATTTGTCAAAAGCCTAGTTAACGCATAATCTAATGTCTTGAATGACTTAGCAACGTTGGAAGCTATAACATATGTTGCCACGTCAATCAAAAGACATGAGGTTATGACTGAAATAGAAATTTGATGCATTTGATATAATGCGCTTGAACAACCTAGTAAAATGTTATCTATCCCCAGTCATTTCTCCCCATAAATTCGTACATACCGCGATCATCTCAAATACTCAATGGTTTCATGTGCCAACACGGTTGAGTTATCAATAAGTCGTAACATTTTCGGCAACGTCGCTGACAATATCTGATATGGCGTTCATATATCCATTCCCATAATATCCTTGGGCTACAGTTGCTAGGGCTTATCACTTTTCACATTAGTGTGAACTGTCTCAGTAAGTTGCACTGTTCTCACACTATACACAGTAGATCTATCCTAGTTTTCCTGTAGCAGTTCGCTAGAAAAGCCAACGAATAATCAAATTTGGCACACTAATAGAAAAACAGACCAATAAGAGTCGATTTGACCAAAAGCTGCCTGTAGCCATTTCCACCCTCCAGACGCAACATTCAAAATTGGGACGACACGTGAGTTTTGTTAAATAACGGTGTGTGATATTTGTATCTCACTAAATATATGAATTTTTGTGCTCCAAAATTAACGCTACTAAGTTTAGCTGATATGTCGTGTTCACATTATAAATAAGGTTCAACTAAGTAAAATATAAAATGATCTGAGCAGTCTTTTTCTGCATCAATAAGCAGTAAGTAGTTTTAAGCGATTAATAAATTTTCATCACAGTTAAAACTGAAATCCCAAATTTCTTAAATGGGGTCGCGAACGAATGAATGTCGTCTTGAAGTAGTTGACGTAATGCGGCCACCTGAATCAGTTTGAGTATTAGGACTAGGTTAACTTCCCAAGACATCCCAAGTAGAAAATATCGGAGGAGTGTAACGGGAAAATTGTGAGGAAATGCAGGATTTATCCCTAAGAGACACTAGACCCCAAGAAACCCTCAAAAAAGGGAGGTAGTAAGAGTTAGCCTTCTATATGTTGTATAATAATTATTCTTACACCGGATGTAAGCTTGCACTTCTCGCATCCTATCTTATATGTCAATCCGGTGAATAAATTCTCGTTTGCATATAGTTCACTGTTTCATCCCTCAGCGCTTTTCCTGAGCCACCATAGTAATTGTGCGCAGCATGTAACTTTTGACGCGTATTTGATGCCTCTAAATTTCAAAGTCTTGTAGCACATTAAGAATATGTAATAAAAGTACTCCCTGTAAAATGCATATATTTCAGGCCCGTACTAGAAATAAATTTAGCAGCTTTGTTATAGAAACGTGGCAAAATGTTGCCCAGACAAATAATTTTCCTTCACAACTCAACTATATTCTGTCATTAACCTGCGAAACTATTGAGAGTAATTCGGAGAGGTAATACTTTTAGTAGTGTATGTGTTTGTTAATGTGAATTCATCAGGTTTTGGTGTCAGGGATAAATTTTCTCTGACCAGTTTCCATTCTGTCCACTGTTTACTAGCATTATGATTAGTCTGTGGAACCTGATAATTTGGAGGGCTGATTAGGTTGTGTTGATTGGCATACTGTGATGCACCAGGACTCGCTTATTGATATTCAGGGGATCGTGAGACGCATGGGACGTTATTTGAATGAAAATCAACGCTGCTTTCTTCACTTCGTTGCATTTTTTGATAAAGTATTAGGTGTTGAAGGGTGTCCCTGTGGATGTGTTCAGCGAGTGGGCTTTCGTAATCCTCACGAAGCTGGATGGTATAAGCATTTGGTTCCCTACCAGTGTATCTCTAAAACGCAAGTGGTTGTTGAGTAGCATTCTGCTTCCCACCGCTTGACTGCAATTTCTTCTCGCATTGGTCATTTCGTGGTACTCAAATTGCACTGAATATATATATATATATATATATATATATATATATACAACGGTGTTGATATCACTATGTGGATATCTGGGATTTATTCTAAGATAAACATCATGTGCATACTTGAGGAGCCCCTCTCTTAGAAAAGCAGTGATTTCGTATTTTCAATGTACAGTTAGAGACTAGATGTTGGTATTCGTATGCCAACTCTAAGAAAGTATTATTGTTCATTGACTTGAGATCTTGATTTCTGACTGTTAGGTTCAGGATTCGAAAACCATAACATCCACATTACCAAGTAGAAATATAATCTGTATGTCAAAGGTGTAGGACTTGAAAAGCCGACGAGGTTACTAAGTCCAGTGTTAAGCATAATTTTATCTAATACGCAGGTGTTCCAATCAATCATTTTCCGTTTCAGATAATTTGAAGATTTGGTTGTTAGCCAGGTGTTTTCAATATCATTTGTTTATCTATTCACCTAATTTATAAACGGGATTGACAACATCAGCAACGTGAAGATGTCGACTTCTAATTTCATCACACTTTCAATCACCACAAATGCGTCTAAGCTACAATCTGAAAAGCGATATCCAATTGATATAACTCTAGGTCAACTCAAAGTATGTGTTTTTCAGTCTACCGACTAACTGCTTTCTAGGAAAAATTAGTTCTAGTTACTGGCTGTGATAACCGTACAATGAAAATCGAGTTATTTGATAAACAAGAAAAGTCCTTAGGTTACTTACTTGATGATGGAAAATCACTGTATGATCTTGGTGTTGAAAATGAAATGCACATTCATGTAACAGATTCAACTATTGCAGATGGAGTATATGACCAGCAAGAAGAACCTGTTGAGACGTATCAGTTGACAGATGAAGAGTATGCAAAACGCGAAGGTATGTTCACCGGCATTTCGTTGTCAATGTTTCATATAAATACTCATTTAATTTGCTGATGGTTTCTCAGTCGCAGCGGTGAAATAGAAAATAAGTAGTTATGTAATAATAGGTATATTTTTAGAGAGTACCTTACATTTAAACACTACCTAGTTAACCTTAGATTCCGACTGAATAATGGCAAACGGTTTCCCAATGCTGTTTAGTATTTTGGTTACTAGTACTACTTACGTTGAACAGGTTCAACTGCAGTTCAAAATTATGGTCTAGTTCTAATCTATTCAAGTACTTCTCAGGATGCTAGCATAATTTCTGAGGGCTTTGAGTTAAATAAGAGGATATATTTCACACTAGATTACTCTTTTAGCCGATATAACCTATTCGGCTTCAGCAGTTTTTCCATCCAGCTACTTAGTGTTGAATAACTTCTAAGGAAGCCATGGGTAATCCACTTTGGCATAAAGTAGTGGAATGTTAAAAAATAGGCGTCTGTACGACGATGAGTTCATAATTAGATCTGCAGTGCAGACGAAGTAAAATCTGAAAGTTGTATGACAATGTTTTGAGATTTTTTAGATGTTTTTTCGTGTGACTAATCTAACGGTTGGACGCTATCTGCTTGCCACAGCCATCCATTCAGAGCGTAAATGGCTAAGATTTGTGATATGAATTTCTCAACCTTTGTGAAGACGTTATTATGTGTGATTTGTTTTCAGGCTTCATTTGGTTTGCTGTCTTTACTATAAATAAAGCATGAAATTATAACGTAGGTTTTATTGAATGTGAAATGATTGGTAAATTTAAACCGTTTATTTAGGGACCTTAAACTAATTTTTGGGACAATTTCTATTACTGATACTCCTCGAAATCAGAAAAATTCCGCTAATGTCTTGTCTCTGTGTCAGTTGTAGTGCCGTATATTTACTGACTATTTTCTACTTTTCCCTTCAAACATTAAGTGAACTTTAGTCTTTCGATTCCCATCCTTTTGTCTTCCGTGATATGATTTGATATACATGTAACTGACTGGTTTCAACATAGAACTCTGCACTGATGTGCAGCAGTTGGAGTCGCCACACTCCATGTAGCACACAAAGCAAGAAAAAAAAAAAAGAGATTCAAAAGATAGATAATAAACAGAAATATGAAGCAAAAAGAAGAAGAAGAATATGGGAGAACAATAGAGTTTTATTGGATATTATAAGTCACAAGGAGTGGATGCATCTGCGCCAGACATTGAGAACGATTTTGAGCCGTATCATCAGTTGTCTCCAGCCATTGGTTTTTACCTCCCCGAAGATCTCAACCAGGAAGCCCACACCTTACGTGGCTGGTTTAAACTAACTGTCGTGGATTTCATTGACTAGTGCCATGTTTTGGTTTGACCACCACTGGCTCTTTTCCAGCCTGACCCTATGTCAACTAACATTGCGCGTCGAGGAAGGCGATGGCTAGGCTAGGCATGCGTAACACATGTCCTAACCATCTCTCTCAATCGGTGTAACTTCCCAACCTCATTGATTGATTTCCCCTCCTTACCTACCACTCGATGCCTAACCTCAACATTGCTCACCTTATTAGACCATTCCACACGGGAGATAGAACGCAGGCACCTATGATCAAAGACAGTTAGCCTTTTCATGTCCTCCACTCTCAATGTCCAGGTCTTACTCACAGGCATGAAGGAGTACGGAGCGAACTGCTGCTGAAGAGTACACAAGTCCTTTAGTCGATAGCCGGATATCACGTCTACGCCAGAGATGGCGTAAATTGGCATATGCGAAACTAGCCTTCTGTATCCGTGCTGAGACTTCGTCAGCGATCAACCCGTTGGCACTGGCTGATGCAATTTCCCAAATAGGTGAAGTGGCCAACACGCTCTAGCACTTCACTCCCTTTTTCTAAGCTAGGAGTCAATGTAGTCCAGTCCTGTAGCATCATCTTACATTTGGCGGTAGCGAATCGCATGTCAAACATTCTCAGATTCCAGCTCAAGGTGTTCACAAGACTGCATTTTGTCAGAGTCTTCACCTAGAAGGACTATATCATCTGCATATTCTAAGTCAACGGGATTATTCTCTGGTCACAAGTCAATCTCTGAGTCACTAAAGTCAGTTAGGCTTAAGTTCGTTAGTACATTTATGATGAAATTAAAGAGAAATGGGGATAGTGAGCATCCCTATCGGACACCACTAGTTGTCACCAGTTCAGATAACAACTCGCCGTAATCTCTCACCTGGCTGCATGAGTTCGAGTAGCGTGCCTCGATCAGTGCAATGTATTTCCTCGGCATTCCTTTCACAGCCAGACATCGCCATCGTACCTCTCGGTTGACAGAATCGAATGCCGCCTTTAGGTCAAGAAATATGACGATTGTTGGACACCGGTAAGTATGCCTATGTTCCCGAATCTGTCGAAGGGTGAAGATATAATCAATACACCCTATTCCTGGTTTGAAGCCTGCCTGGTTCTCTCGTGTTTGTTCCACCCGAGCACCACTTAGACTATGCATTATTATTAAGTCTAGAACTTTAGGTAGCATATTAGTTAAGCTAATCCCCCTGTGATTATCACAGGAAGATTTGTCCCCCTTCTTGTATGTGGGGATAATCAATGACTTACACCAACCCGACGGGACTTCATCTGATTCCCAGACGCTGCCTAATACCTTTGTTAACGCAGGTAGTAAACTGTCCCCATCGTCCTTAAACACCTCTGGAGTCATTCCATCAGGTCCTGCTGCTTTGCCTCGTTTCAGATTAGAGATAGCTTTTGTAACCTCAGTTAGGGAAGGAGAGACGGTGTTTCTATCCCATTCAGAGAGGTGTTGGATGCTGGGTAAGTTGAGTGTGGTTGTAGGCCAATTAAATTGCTCCTCAACGCTTTAATTCCAACGTTCAACATACATGTGAAGCGTATAACAACTTGGATGACTGTAAAGTAGCGTTAAGTCCTACGTTGATGTTTATTCGCAGAATCACGATTTCAGACTAATTACATTAATCAGTTAATTTAGTTCCCCTATTCTTTTTACGTGTATCTGCTAAAAAGTCGTCATTCCCAGCGTGAATGGTAAAGCTTATAGTTCCCTTAGCGAACCGTTAAAATAACGACTTAATTCAGATTTATTTGATACATGTTCAAACTGGTTTGTAGTTATCAAAAATACTGGAATTTATTATTCATTTGAAAACCCCAATTCTGCAGTACGGTTAATATGGTCCTCAATTATTTTCTACTCGTGGTTTCACAGAATCAGTATTGGCTTGGAAGCGACGTAACAAAATTGGACAGTTTCGAGAAGTTGATCCTGAGGAAGCTAAGCGTGCAGAAGAACTGCGTCAAGAGGCAGAATTAAAGGAAAAAGAAAAGGCGGAGTCCTTGCCTATTGGTTCTCGGTAAGTGGGGGAATTCTAGCCGTTTTCATTGTGCGTTTTTTTCAGCAATGTAAATGAGTGTTTCTTTACAATATTGAAACCAGCATATTTGGACAATATTTATGACGTAAATTCGGAACTGCAGTCTAAACCACATATATTTCATCCGGTTTATAGAGGATTGAAACTTAAGCAAATATCCCTGTAGTTTATATTCAATTACTGAAAAGGTCTAATTGAGGAGTTAAGAATATGTAGGTAAAATACTAAGGAATATTTCGTCAATGATTTCCCTTCCCCTCTTTCTTACATTTCCTTCTGCTAGGTTTGAAGAGTTGTCGTGTAATTATGTGCTCATACTTTCTATGCAATGATATTGAAATATTACTGATTCATTTCATTTCACGTAGTTGAATACCTTCCGAAGCACTCATACTCGACATAAACTTCAGGCTAGTTCAGATTTCTAGGGACAGCAGTTCGTCGTCACTTTGAAGATGATTTTCCTGAAATACTCAGCTTTCATATACAGTTTATTTTTCTCCGTTTTTGATAATAAAACAGCAACAAGTACTGTCTGTAGCGTGGATCTTATTCACCTCTTAGCAAGTCTGAATATGCATTAGTGAACGACATATTAAGGGATACCAGTTTTGAGCTTTTCTACGTGTAAATAACTAAACTTCAAACAACAGAAATGCTATATCTGTATCAGGCATACCTTCACTAGACGCACGGTCAGATGTTATAACTAATTTTAACTGTGCATTTATGTTTGTCTAAGCATATATATATTTATTCAAAACATAAAACCTGGTACAATATAGGCACAATAATAATAAAACACTATATGAAGAAAATAGGCAAAGAATAGATAAAGGACTTCATCCAGAAAGAAACAAAGCAACTATATTTAACGAAACCAAACAATATTCGTCATATTACTGTTAGAAAGAAGGAAATCACTGCATGTTTCCGATTGATTGGGATTCTTGGCCATTTCCGATAACTTCTCGAGATACATATCTGAACTATCTCTCAAACCTCAAACAGGGAATCGTGATGTACCAACCAATGCTAACCTAAAACAAATACCCTTCATCCCCAGACGCCACGTCATAGGCTCACCATCTCTCCACCTTTCATCCTGTCCCCAGGCCTAGCGAAGAGAGGCTAGTACGTAAGTCTCTGGGATGACATTCGTAGCATTTTTCCAACGCAAGTCTATACAAAATGATCATTAAGATGTAACCAAAGAAAGTATCTTGTCCTATAAATGCTGATTGAGATTAAACTAACTGTGCACAGAAAACAGTATTTTTTGGGAATCAGCCACAACCTAATTAACTTTTAGGCGAGAAAAGAGTATGTCAACGCTTACGCAGAGTGCAATGCATATAAATGCAAGTTCGTATCCTCCGTCTCCTATGGTATTTGTTCTACTCAGACCAAAGACAAATTAAAGCATCATTTTGATCGTCCAAAATACGAGATATATTTCGGCATCAGAACCATAGTGCGACAATGATTGTTTAACTAGCTAAGGACCTTGCAAGAACAACCGAACGTAACACGACAGCGTGCCAAGTGGCGCGGGAGCTTGACTACTTACCCTCAATCTGACGAGTCGACTTAAACAATGAAGATCAACATCCATTGTCAAGTGAAAAGTACTCTAAGCTAATAATTCCGGGGAGTTATATACCGCTACAAGCCTTAGTCAAAAAGTGCCAATAAACGTAGGTAAGATAATACTTTCTGCGACTAGCTTCTTTCATTTAACATATATATTCTCTAACTTAACCAACTCCAAAGATGCCACTAGTGAATTGGCTTGTACAACACACTTTTTTCACTGTCAATAATTTTAAGTACACAAATACTACCATAGGACACCGACTCTACAAATCTTTTCTAGAATTTCCAAGCCTAAAAATATCTGTTAAAGTCTAAATTGTTTCTGGCCAGTGAAGACCTTTTTGTAAAACAAGCTATAATTGGCGTGTTTCAATTACAATTTACAGAAGCAATCATTATCCCCATAAATGGATGTCGCTGAATTTATTTCCGGTATGTTCTTTCACGCATATCTCTCCTCCAGGTGTGAAGTTCGTATTCCAAATCAAATAACAAAACGGGGTGTAATAGAATTTGTCGGTAAGTATTTCCATATGCAATCCGATCTTTTTATTCAAATCTTTAGCGTTAGGTTTTCTAGTCGGTTTATTACAAGTGTATTAAATACTCATGATCATTTATAAGAACATTTTGGAAATACGTTTGTTTAAGAATTAAAAATAACCGTATTTTTCAAGTGTCGGTTTGCATTATATAGTAGTACTGGTTATTTGTTCGTACTTAGGTAACCAAAATCTCCATGCTCATTGATGCACCACTTATGACGTAGAGTAATCAAGGGCAGCTTAATTTGGAAATGTTTCAATTAATTATCCGAATCTTGTTATATTTAATTGTTTGTAGGTAAACAATCATACTGCCCCCCCCCCCAATCATTTCAGTGATTGGACTGAATTATCAACTTAAACTTCGCATAGAATTGCATCAGTTCAGGTCGCTACACTTAATAAAATCACATAAAGGTAGAGGAAAGAAATGTAAATGAATAGCGAGTTTTTTGCTCTAGCACTCAATGCTATCTCCACATCATCGGCAAATAGCGTACCAAACATACTAAGAATGCTGCTCAAGGCGTATTTACCTAGTAACAAGGTAATCCCTAATTCTCTAGAGTTCATTCAATTAGTACATCTATGATGAACTTACACAAAAGTGGGGACAAAGATACCCCAGACGGCAACTTGAACTGCTGCACCTCTGTGCCAATTTCTGTGTTGAAAGTCCTTCATTCTGAAGGCAGTGTAGTTGGTTTCCAGGTGGTCGGAAAGAAACACCCTAGCCTTGTTACACCCCTATCCATCAGCAGCACGAACTCATCCTCAGACGGCTGACAGTGTAAACAATTCAAACTATGGTAGTAACCGCTTTTAGTCTAGCCAATATCCAAACAATTTCCCTGGCATTTCAGGACCAATAGATGCCGTCAGCATAGCTCCTTGCAATATGCAAGCCCGACTGCCACGTTATAGTGTTAGCTATCGTTCGAGGCTATTTCAGTGAATCCAAACCCACTGTTATATACCATTTCCGTTTGTTGGTTGGTTTGAGTTCCATTTATTTTAGCTGCAGTGATTTAATTGCTGACTTCTATTATTATGATTTGTCTATCCCCCATGATTACTAACAAAGAAAATGAACTTGGGATGAATACAGTCGATCTGTCATGTAACATAAGAAAGTCAAGTAATTGTTAGACTTATGTATCGTCGTTTTGAAACTCATCAATGTAATAAATATTTGAGTGCCATTTAAATAATCGTATATTTTTTACCGCTGTTATTCTTTTCTTCAGGACTAACTAAATTTAAGCCTGGTTATTGGGTTGGAATTCGTTATGATGAACCTTTGGGACGAAATGATGGAAGGTTAGTCTTTGTCATCATTTTACAGTCTGCAATACATAGTTGTTATTGTCTTAATAATAATGTAGTACCGATTTTAATACGTTCTGATATGATAAAAAGAAAATGTACCCATAATTAATGACCATACTTCATAGTAATGACCTCTATGTTTTACATTAGCTAAATAGTGTACAGAATGCTCTGTGATGGTCACCTGTGTCACTTTCAAAAGTATCATGTTTCATCTAGACATTTTTATTTGATTAATATTGACTAGCAGCGGAGTCCATCTTATCTGGGACTCGTCATCTGGATATACCTGCAATCCGGTGAGAGTGAGAGTGTTCCTACGGAGACTCAAGTCCAGCACCTGTCGTTTCAAATGGAAAAGCTTTATCTACTGGGTCACAAAAACCATTTCTTGTACAACGGATGGAGTGCGCATCCTGGATGCCACCATCACATAATCATATTAATCTTCAGACACTGTCGAAACGTCTGTACTAGGAACGGACATTTGAAGAGACCACGAATTTCAGTCTAATATAATTCAATGAACGAGAAATACAAAATAAAAGACAAATAGGGGTTTTCCGAAAACTCTGAGTTACTGAATATATCACGACCGATGCTATAACTTTAATAGTCAATTACTATCCCTGTTTCCAAGTATTGGTTTTGTAGGGAATTTTTGTTTGTTTGATTGGTTGGAGAATTTCATCATGTGGTGACATCAGTTAGATAACCACTGGGAAACCTGCAGGGAGTACTGGACAGCTGTTTCGTCCCAGTTTGGGCGCGTACTGCTGTAGAGTCCTTGTAGGTTTTCCAGTGGTTCTCTAACTGATATCAGCTCGTGGTGAAATCCTCTTACCAATCACACAAAATGCCTACAAAAACCAATACTTGAAAATTGACCTGATGCTCACTAGCGACTGACCCTATTCAGGCAGTGATCTGAGATTCTAGTGGGTAACCATGACCAGTAGGTTGAAGGTGAGGTAGTAACTCATCGAAGAAGACATTGCGAAGTGGTCGCGCTACATCATGAATCGGCAGAATTCATGGGTCATTGGACGGAGTCCCGGTGGCTTAATGGTCTACGACCTAGCTCGCCTTGTAACCAGAAAGTCCTGGGTGCGTACTGTTGAAGAGTTCCAAACTAGGATGAAACGGCTGTCCAGTGCTCCCTCCAGGTTTTCCAATGGCTCTCTAACTGATGTCAGCTCATAATAAAATACTATCCCTACTAATAGTTGATTGGTATTCTCCTTAAATTGTAATCGGCCGCTGTAATAATAAGGCAGTTATCTTGTTTTGCAAGTAGTTTCAAAAAGTCACGCATACAATGGAAAGTAAACATGGTATTTGAAGCTCAGATAGTAAGCACTATACAAATCAATAATATGTCGAACGGTATGTACCGATAACCTAATTGCATGCTACCACGCATGAGTTTAAATTGTATGGTAGATTGTCTTCTAAATTGTTATACAAATAGTATGTTAAAAGGCTCCAAGGTCAAAGTCGAAAATAAATGCACCGAAATTATTTATTTGTTTCGGTGCTTTCATTACATAATCTGGTAAGTCATTAATTTTAATGCTTGTTAGTTCATAGAATCGCAACAGGTACGTGATAAATGTTTGAATTTTGTGTTTATGTGAACATTAGTCGAATTGTTGTTCGTAGGTGCAGTGGAGTTAATTCTTCCTTTAAAATGTCATCTTATAAGCCTACTTTTGCTGTATTTTCATTTATACATATGCTTTCTTTAACATTCCGTTTCTACATCATTTCAGTATTGAAGGAGTACGCTATTTTCAATGTCCAGATAAATATGGTGCATTTGTTAAGCCACAATATGTTGAAGCTGGTGACTTTCCTGAACTTGGAATTGATGACCTGGATGAGATTTGATGAAACTGTAATGAGAAATAAATTTGAAATAGGTGTACACATCTTAACATGATACCTACCTCAATATTATTACAATTAATGTATGTATACATTAACTTAAACTATGTTGCACGGAAAGCATATATTACTAGCTTTTATTGTATAGTAATATTGTATCAGCCTTATTTATTTTTTTTCAGATTGCTATATCATAGACGTCTATGATAATCAAAAATAAATCGAATTTTGAACAAGCTTTGTTTATCACTTCAGTGTTTAAGAAAATGCTATCTGAAGCAATGAAGTAGATAGCGTACTTAAATGCGACATTTCTGTCATCCTCATCTTATCCCCTTACAGTAGTTAGACTTAATACAGAAGGAAAAATAAGTCCACCGCAAAACAATTCGTCGTCCATCTTATGTAGAAGTCGTTACTCTAACTACCAGTGGCTACTTGAATGCGGTGGTCGGATCTGCACAGTACAATGCACATACTAGTTTCAAAAAATTCTTGTTGAAAGCTAACCGAAGTAGGAAAGTTGGTGTAATCTGTAGCATTCACGATCTTTGAGCAAATACCTCTACTCTTGATTTCACCAAAGTGGTTAGATCGATGGACTAGATAACTATCCCAGATTTTATCACACCCGAGATGAAGCTAAAAAATGTTTCATCTGAAGTACAATTCAGCTTTTTTTCTTCAGAATTTTCGTCTCGAGGAGACTGGACAGAGGATATATTTCTAAGAACTAGATACACGATGATCCCTGAAGAAGCATCTGTTATGTATGAGCACAACAGTTTTATCCGGGTGACACCAATTTCCCTAGAGGGAGTAATGAACACCTTTGTACTTGAAACCGAAAGTATTGCAGTACAAAATGGAGACAGTAAGAATTACACACCAAACAATTTACGTTCTCCCTTACAAAAACTTCGCTCAAATTAAAGAATGGCATTAGATAGTTTTGAAGAATAAACAGATAGGGACTGTATCGAGCAGTTCAAGTGATCTCTAACTGGAATTCAGTTTCACGCCATTCAACCCTAAGATTAGATCATGCGTCTGTTTTACCTTTCGTAAAAATTGCTTTACATACAAAAGGATGATGACAAAGTTTGTACTGAACTATGGAACTTCGCACAGAAAAGCAGCATTTCAAGTCACTGGACTACAGAAAAATAAAACTGACGTAAATGTGGAGAATCTAAGACATCAGAATGAGTTAGTGCATTTGCTGCACCACTGAGTATGAGCTTAAGCCATATATCACTAGCAGTCTCCAACCATTGATTCTTAGCATCCTGAGGACAACAATCTACACCACCCTGTGGCTCAAGACAGTAGTCAAAAACTTCATGAATCGGTCCTGGGTCTCCAAGTCCTAGGCATCTTAAAGATGTAACCCCACGATCCCATTGGCTGACTTTCCTTCTTCGCCTAACGTTCTACGCCAGAGCTCATCATTACTGAATATTATATAATAACACCTAGCACGAGATAGGACGCGGACACCTATTGTAAAACAAGTGTAGCCTCTAGATACTCTTAAGCTGCTAACATTTGTGTCTGACAACCCTAAAGAATGACGGAGCTCAGTGCGCACGTCCTTTGATCAACAGATGAATGTCACACGTGAGCTAAAGTTGGTGCAAACTGACGAAACACTGAAAGAGCCTTTTTATTTGTGCTAAGATTTCGTCAGCAATCGGTATATCAGAGCTGACGCAACTTTCTAAATAAGTATTACGCTTTCTGTCATTAAATTAAGAGACAGTGCACACCTAGTTCTGCAGCATCATCTCACAGTTTACATTGGTGAATTGCATACCAAACACACTAAGATTTTAGCTGAGGATGTTCGGACTGGATTTTTTGAGCGTCATCTGCATAATGCAAAGCATTGAGACTCTTCTTTCGTAACAAGTCAGTTCTTTAACCACCAAAGTCGACTCGGATCACCATAACAACCAGACTAACAAATGAATACGATCTCGAGTAATCTACTGAACAAATCTATATTTTCTGGATAAGTGATATAGCTAATAGGTTACTAAGTTTACATTTAGTTCTTTGCAATATCTCCAGGTTTTTGCTAAATAAAAGGTAAGTATTTCAAATTCTAAAATAAATGACGTTGAAATATATTATAGAAAATTCTAAGAATAGTGCATTGTTAGTTAGGTCTTATTCGATTCCAACATATCTTTCGCTTGATTGATCTTTGCAGCCAAGTATGGTGAACCACCTGAAAATAATACAAAATATATAATATGAAGTAATGTTAATTTTATAATACTTAATTGAATTACCTAAACAACTATATTGCTGCAGTGAAGTACACCTTCTTTAACTAAGGTGGGACAAGTATACAATGCTGTTCTTTTCTATCGCTGGAGATGGGAGACTTCAAATTACACGTTTGCAAAACATCACTGACATATGAGGCGCTCATAAGTTAGTTGTCTAATTCTTGAGATTACGTTAATTGTAGTCAGCATTCACTTCGATTCGCATTTAGCGGGAACTAGAATGAATTCCAAAACGCCGACGGATGGCTAGAATAAGAGTCTGTGAAATAGTTCACTAATTTAAAATATCCCATTTACACATTCTGGAGAAAAACAACAAATTGGATGAGGAAATATAATTCCTTTTCAATTAGTTACCCATCAACACAAAAAAATGTTGCTAACTTCTGCTAATTAACTGTCTTGATCATTTTTAATCAGTTATTTTCACTACTCCTATACCTCAGTTAACAGCCAGAAACGTTTAATGCACTGGTCTATGAACGGTAAATTTGAGTGAAGCGAGCTTAGAAGCAACAGAATATGTGCATGTAAACTTATTGTGAATTAAGGTAGTCAGTCTGCTACTTATGATAATGAAGTGACATTACTCTATGCCGCGAATTAGGCTTTGGCTGCTTAGTCAAAATTTATCAAAGGCGTTTGGGTTTTTGAAATCTCTCGAAATCTGATTCTTTCTATAGACATGCAGGGGTAATGATGAAAGAGCCCTATGTGTGTGCATGCATTAGCAATGAGCCGCACTGACTGTGTGGCCATCAGGTCGCAGGTTCGAATCCCGCTCCACCTACTTCAGCCTAGACAACTGTATAGGACCATTTTAACCCTCACAGTTCGGCACATGAGGAATCTGTTCCGGGTAGCTGAGTTGAGTTCACGAAGAACTTATGAGGGTTACGGATAGTATGTGGCTGCCTAAACCAAAGTAAATGAAGCAGGCTTCCAACGCGTGACCCAAAGGTCAAGTTCCAAAACCAACCAGTCAAATATCCACGAAACTTTAGCCACTAATCATTTAGGAAGACAAGAGACCAACTAAACATGATGACTGATATAATCTGTAATTGCACACTTATGTAGAAGATAAAACTGTATATCGAGTAATCAGTTAATTGTAGCACTATCCAACTCACCTCTATCAGGATGATTGAGAAGCATGATTCTTTTATGAGCATCTTTAATCTTATTTTTGCTGGACTGTTGACTGAAAGAAAAATAATAAGAATGATATTAAACGAAATTATTTACTACACTATTTGCTATTAGCAGTTTAATTCTGGAAAATTCTGTTAATTCATGTCACAAAGCTAGTGCGACTTTTGGAAGTATTAGGAATACTGAAAAGTCCAGATAGTTCTTAAGGGGAAATCACTACTTATCACTTTCCTGTCTACCTGTATGCTATAATTTCCAATAACACTGCTTATGAGAACATAAACTTGGCATAATACAAGTACTGAAAAGCGGTGTGTGGAATAGTAAACCATGGTAAAGATATAAAAATAAGTATGACGGAATTATCAGAATAGCATTTGGACAAAATGTAACATTTTTGGCCACTAATCACTAAATGAGTACAGTATGCATGCACTAACTGCTGTGAAGCACACAGTTAGACAATCCTGCTCACATACTCAATCGATCAGACTTCAGCCTATAAGTAACTTTTAACACAACACTTCCGAAAGTAGCTGAAGAACGCTACCGATGAAAAAAGCTGAATGAAGAATGTATAAGTTCACTGACAATAAGAAATCACGAAGTGGTGAGAAACCTAAAATATATGGAGTAAAAATAAGGAAACTCGTAAAAAATGATCAGACGCTAACAAAGCGTAAACTGAGAAACTCTTTTAGGAAGTGAAACTATGCTTCAAGCGCTTTCTACAAAAGCAGTATACAAGCTCAAGATGGATATTTATGATAAATTTTCCATGCTTCTTCATTCCTTGATTGCACTTTTACTTGGTGTTCAAACTTTGTCTCATGGTGCAGTACAAACCATTTCATATAGCACTGGAAACTACAAATGGTATTATATTAGTAATTAGAGTGATTCATTTGGAAATAATCAAAATGACGTAGTGGTATCCACCGATTAAAAAAAACTTGCACAAGTCACATATGCAGTCAGGGTTTTTCATACTTCATAGACTATGAAAATAATATGGATTACCTATAACTATAATCAGATAGAAACAAAACAAGAGAGTAAACCTACCTCACACCGAGGATCAATGCAGCTTCACGCTTCGACATATTGGGTTCGAAGCCTCCACGATAATACTTTTCATTCTGTGAACAAAATGGATTGAAATTCATGATTTAACAACTCTAAGAATGATAAACAAAAGTCCATACTAATAAATCTAAACATTAACGTCTGTCGACATTGTGATAACATATCACAAAGGTTAAAAATTATATGTCGGTTATGGTCCGGGTTTTTTTTTCAAAATAAACCAGCAAATAACCTCCACACTCAGCAGTGAATAGAACTTGTACCTAGAAACACTCAAGAGGCACTAAAAGACTGAAGTTAAAATTTTGTTAATCAGTCCCACCAGCCGGCAGCGAAACTAATTTATATAATTCTTCAAACATACTGTGATACACAGTATTGATGTAAACAAAGTTAGCCAATGCCACATAGGCAGCAATAATAGTAAGATTATGATAATGCATTTAGTTATCACATATACTTGTATTAATAATGAAATAAGCTTGACCCGCTGATTCCTGTACGCATTAAATGTTTGACCATACGAGTATTCACAAATCATCATAATTTTAATCTGCGTATGATAAAAAACGATGTAAGTAACACTAGACATCAATCTTCCGTGTATTTTATAAGCATTTCTATGTGGAACGATTTGTCCGCTAACTCAACTACAGGTGGAACTGACGAGGATATCAAAGCATGAATCGGAAAAGCAAGACAAGCCTTCATTACTCTCAAGTCTGTGTTGAAGTCAAAAGCACTCAGCATGAAAACTAAGATCCGGATTTTCAACTCCAATGTGAAGTCAGCGCTACTTACTATACGGATCAGAGACTTGGCGTGTCATAAAGAGCATCTCAAACAAACTACAGACCTTCATTAACAGTTGTCTTCGCTCAATACTCAAGATCAGATGGACAGAAAAGATCAGCAATAGTGAGGGATCTCTGGGAGCGAACCAACCAGGAACCGATTGTGAAACAAATATGCAGGAAGAAATGGAGATGGATTGGCCATACTCTAAGGAAGCCATCAAGTGACATCACACGCCAGGCCATCTCTCGAGTGGAACCCGAATGGGAAGCGGTGAGTTGGTCGTCCAGGGGTGACATGGAAGAGGTCATGTGAAGAGGAAATGAAAGCATGTGGGCAGACGTGAAGCCGGGTGAAAAGGTTGACAGAGAACCCAAAGCAATGGAGACCTGCGACTGAAGCCCTATGTTCCTCTAGCAATTAAAGGAAAACAATGATAATAATATAACTATTCAAGTTGTCAATAAATGTATTCTTTAACAATACAAAGTCAGGATGAGACGATGATGTGCGGCAGTGATACAGACTAATTCTGTAGCAGTAAAAAAGTGAAATGACTTTACTTGAAATACATTATCTGTTACCGTTTAAAGGCTGAATGTTTTGAGTCGTCTGAATACCTTATTAAAGTGGCCAAATGGTAGTACACTTGTACACTTAATCACGAATTAATCACAGCAAGACTTAAAAATACGTAGAGCTTCATGTTACTGCACTTATTCTTGAAATTATGCCTTAATGATTGTAAGCAATTGTGCCAGTTTACTATCAGTTGGCGATTTTCAGTACAGGTTCAGGTGACTACACTTCGTGGAGATGTGGCTCTTTGGCTTAGGGACTCGCTTTTCAGCTAAGGGACACCGGGTTAGAATACCGTTCCACCTAATTCAGCCCATGCAATTCAATGATATCATTAGCCCTCATACGACAAGTGTCATCCACAGTCCACTACCGAGTTGCTGAGTTCTAACTATCCAAACTAACTGCACTTCATGATGACATAAGGCTTGATGAACAGAATTCAAAACAAACAAGGTGCACAGGACATAAGAAATAAACTACAAATGGACAGTAATAAAATGTTGAAAAATTACATTGGTGAATCGACTTGCAAAACAATGATTCATTTTCAGCATCCTCTTTGAAAAAAAACTAACATAAGCCGTCTATAAGGTTTCAGACAGTTAGTATCCATATCGTCGGTTGATACCATTTCCCAGTCTCTGTGCGTTGCTAAACAACCACACGTAACTACAACTAAGTGATGAATAACAACTATTATGTAGTTGCTGGTCCTAGTAACTGGCTATCAGGTCGTGGAGGAGGGAAAATCGTTTAAAATCAGAGCCCACTGATTTGAAATGTGTCATCCAATACGACGTAACACCACCTTAGCTTTAATTCGAATTCAGTCCTCCAGCTGACATGACTTGCCAGTGTGAACTTAGAGAGGAGATAAGTAAGGGTTAACAGTAGTCGTTTAAAAACGGGACTGGCGAGACTATAGATCAGAAATACATGAGAGTGATTCACTTCCAAGGAAAGTTGGAACATTACACAGAAATCACTAAGTGATGTGCGGACACTTTTTGAATTTAGACGGTCCAGTTTTAGCGACGATGAAATATTGAAATGAAAAAGGTAGTAATTAAGGACAGTAAACACATCCAAAACAAAAGATACATAATCAAGTGGTGGTTTGCAGGGATTTGATTGGTTTCAGAACTTCATCGTGAAGAGTTCCAAGCTGGGAAGAAACAGCTGTCTAGTACTTCCAGGTTTTCCAATGTCAGTTCATGATGAAAAGACAGTCTACAACAAATTTCACAAGCATTTGCAAGAAGTCAGTCAAGACCATTACCACTGTTTCAGTGTATAAGAAATTTATGACTACCAAAAGAAACTTGGACTTAAAGCTTATCCAAACAACCTGACATAGAACTGTAATGAAAGACCAATTGCTTTAAAGCCCTTCTCAGAAACTATGCAAATTTTTTTTTAGCCAGCAGAAAAGATCTATATACATTAAAGTAGATTTTAACGATGAATACTTCACTAACAATGTAAATTAATAAGCCAAGTAGTAATGATAGAGTCATTAGTTTATTTTGATGGCATGATAGGTTCGCTGCATATCTCCTTTGTTAGCATACAAATTCGGACAATTTACATCACAAAGCCGGCGAAAGTCACAAAAAGCTGAAGCAAATCCAACCACACCTTTTGCCTTTGAACAGTTGTGAACTAGTACAGCTTTGTGCTGACAAGCAAAGTTTCAACGGATTTTTGTTACCTTAAAAGAGAAATGGTGTCACCATATTACCAACCTATAGAAATAAAATAAAATGTCAATACATCACTTATCGATACTTATACTACCTTTGGTTTCCATTTCGTCTGAATGTATGACACTTGATTAGAATAAACGCAATGTATACCAACGAGTTAAGATGTGAATGAACAAATTAAGACTGTATAAGAATGAGCTTTCAGCTCCATAAATCCCACGAAAACGTTAAACGAAACCTCAGTGGTTACAAAGTCAGGCAATGGAAAGACTTTAATTTACAGATTTAAATTTGTAAAGATTATGATTGATGACTTACTAATCCCGACAATTTAACAAGTTCTGTGATGCTACCGACGTTTATACGCCGAGTTAAGTAGCGCCCAGCAACTCCAATACCAATGAGTCCGAGTCCTAATAATACTGATGATGACTTAAAAAATTGAATTAGTTGTCATTTTTTAACTCACCATGACTTCATTACTACACCAGGTAGATCCCAGTTGTTTTGCGTCCAATTAGAGAAATAACTGAGTGGTTGAATTCTCCGAGTGAAAATCACAGCAGCCGTCCTTGTTACCAATATTTCCTGGACTCACGAGTAACAATCGAAGTTCCGCCCTAGCTCAAGGACAAATGCAGAAACCTTCAAACCCGAAGGCTTGTCTATGAGAAAAAAGAATGCTAACATCAAACCTAAGAAAGTTTTGACCCTCAACTTCGTATAACTGATTCCGGTAAAATCCACATCCTCGAACACTCTAGATGAAAGCAACAGAAAGTAAAAGTGTGGTTTGTACCACGGACTTGCGAATTTGTTTCACAGGGCAGTTTTCTATCTGAGTCAGTAGATGCTGTAGAATAGGGTCTGCCAGACAGTTAAAAGAGGGACAGCTAGAGTGGACAGGAGAAATCGAAGGAAGGTAGAGCAATAATACTGTTGTATGGCAGGTAAAATAGTGGAAGCATATGAATATAATAATAAGAGAAAAGAACGGGACTAACAGTTAGAAATAAACAGCGGCATCTAGGCATATAAAATGATAGCAATGTTTATAGTCCCAGCAGAGCCTGCTCTCCCTACTGATGCCCGCAAACCTAACACTTTGAATAATAAAATAGTCTTCTCCTGAAGCGAAAACCTGAAAGACCTGATTACAAACTGATAAGCAGAAAACGGTAGTTCTGACGTTGTTAGTTGGGTCTGGTGGCCAATTCTGTTTGGTTTACCCCGTGAGGTATCATGCTGCTCTCAGCTCTGGTGTTTTCGGCTTTGCCCACCTGAGTAGTATGGGAATCTTTGCTCCACTGGTATGTGAAGGATTGCTGCCCGATGTTAATAAACATGTTTAACTGACCCATCTTTCTTCACTATATTTTCCAGTGTGACGGGGCCCACCCACATCTTAATCTACTCTTCTCACCGCTCCACACCATCAAGGCACAAGGGCATTAGAAAGCCTAAGATATCCCAGAGATCAATTATTAAGATAATAATAACAATTTGCTGTTTGAAAAAGGGAGTGCTTTTTTCACGTATTTTCACGTATTTGACAAATCGCTGTTTTTGTTGTGTTATTCACTTCGAGAACATTTAAAAAACCTTAACTTGACTTTTGTCTGTTAAGTTTTTATTTTAAACACTTATATAGTCTATATTGGGTAACTTGTCTTGGCAGTTCCATTAGTTCATTATGTCAAAAGTACCACATAAATGTAATAGGGTGGAGTGTTACTTTTTGGTAGATGATGGAATACAGTGTAATAACTGTAAAAAGTGGTATCATAAGATGTGTACTGGATTACGTCCAGCTGCATACAAACGTTGTATTGCTCCAACATCCAACTGGATGTGCAGAATGTGCTGCTCCCCAAAGATGACTTTGATAAGGGAGGCTCACGAGCTATTGTCTAAGGCTATGGAACTTCCTGATGATAGCGTGGCGAGTAATAGTGACACAGACTGCCCGTCTGAAGATGACGCTGCAAGTGCCATCATGAATGTTACTACACCGGCGATTACTATCCCAGTTACCCCGGAAGTAAAACCTACTAGGCGTTCGAAGCGTCTTAGTAAGCGAAAGGGTAACAGAACGGAAGCTGCAAACAGCATCTCAGCACCAGAGAACACTGTAAGCGAAGTTCACCATGAAGGTGGTGCAGACACTGATCTCGATTGTACCATCAAAAACTGCAGCAGCCCTGAGAAGCAACTGCAGACAGATGATAAGTGGGTAACGAAAATAAGCAATCGAAAGAAACATAGTAATACTAATGGTAAGCAAACGTCTGTTACCTGTAGCCAGGCTGCATCAGTAGTGGTGAGAAAAGACGTAGCCACTGCTAAACACGATAAGCTCTCCTTAGACTCTAACATAATTGTTGGAAACTTAGAAGAGTCCAAAGAATCTGATCCCGTAAAAAGGCACGATCACGACCTCATATTAGTGAGTAGTATTATAAGGAAGATGCTTCCAGCGAATTTCCCTGGAGTATCGATTAAAAAGCTGATCAGAATAGGCAAAAGAGATGATGAATGTTCTAATCAGCGTATGTTGCTTAAAGTAGTCTTAGGTTCTCCTGATGAACGGAATCATCTACTGGCTAATGTACACAACCTTACCGGGTCAGGAATTTCAGCCAGACGTGATTTATCTCTTGAAGACAGACTAAAACGAAAAGAAGTTTTGTCCCAGCTAGAAACAAGACGTAAAAATGGTGAGACTAACCTTAAACTGGTGGGTTTTCAAATAGTCAGGTCTTGGAAACGTATGCTTCCAAGACCTGTGTGGATAAGCCGGACCTCATAGGAAGCCTGAAGGTAGTGTACACTAATATACGTAGTATCGGGAACAAATTTCATGAGCTAGGTGTATTAGTGGAAGACCTTAGCCCAAGTATTGTGGCCATTACTGAAACATGGCTGATTTCTGGATTAGATGACACACCTGAGCTATGCGGATTTAGTTGCTTGCGCAGCGACAGGGTTAAGGGTCGTAGAGGTGGCGGGGTTGCTCTGTACATCAACAACTCCCTACATGTTCGTTCCGTGAAATCTCAAGCGCATGACAGTGGGACAAGTGAGGTAATTAGCTGTGAATTAAGCTTTGCAACTGGCACTTTACTCATTGGTGTTCTGTATAGAAGTCCCTTTTGTCAGTGTGATGACTTTATTCTAGATCACCTCAAACAATGGAGTAAACACAGTAGCTGTCTTATTCTAGGTGACTTTAATGCACCTCACATAGACTGGATAGCTGGCACATCTCCAGGATCCACTAATAAGTTTGACAGCCGGTTACTCTTGACTACCATGGAAAATGCCCTGACACAACATGTCTTAGGTAGTACAAGATTCGGTTCTACCCAAGGATCTTCCTTGCTGGACTTAGTGCTTACTCATGACAGCGACGACGTGGACGGTCTAGTTATTCATCCACCTCTAGCAAACAGTGATCATGGGGTGTTAGATTTTAACTTAAGGGTTGGCAATTTAGTCAGTTTTCAACCCAAATCCCGACCTAGTGTTTGGCATGCTGACATAGTCTCTATAAAGGAGCGTGCTTCAACTACCGACTGGTCAGTCGATATTGTCTCATCCATTGAAGATGAATGGGATAGATTTAAGAAAACAGTTGAGAGGGTTACCACTGATTTCATTCCCTGGAGGGTTCCTAAAAGACCAACAAACCGGCCACCATGGATAAATAGACAAGCTATAACACTCCTAAGACGGAGAAAAAGGTTCTGGAATCTCTTTGTTTCTACTGGGCTACAGCAGTTCCGGCTGAAATACTGTGAAACCAGAAACCAGTGTAAAACTTTCATTTACCAGTCAAGGATAGCTTACGAAAGCCAGTTAGTTAAAAGTTCACCAGGCTGCCCAAAAAGACTCTTCTCATATATCAAGAGAAGAACACTTAAGAGTGATGCTATCCCACCTCTTATGCTTGAAGATGACCAGACAAACATGGCTGAGGATAACTTGACTAAGGCTGAGGCTTTGTCCAAGCACTTTAGTCAAGTATTCTCTGATAATATTGATACCAGCTTTGTAACTTTTCCAGAAGGTAACTTGAAAATGGCACCCTTATACATTGGAAAGGATACTGTCCCAAAGTGGCTTCTAAGGCTCAATCCTGGTAAGTCCAGTGGCCCTGATGAACTCCACCCACGTATTTTAACAGCATTGGCTGAAAACATAGCTGAGCCATTGTCGGTAATCTTCAATATGTCTCTGGACCAGTCTAAATGTCCAAGAGACTTGAAAGATGCCATCATTAGTCCGGTCTTCAAAACCGGATCTAGAAACTTAGTTCAGAACTATCGTCCTGTTAGTTTAACCAGTACTGTTGTTAAACTACTGGAAAGAATAATTCGTGATGCTATCATTCAGTTCATTGAAGGGAACAAACTTTTCGCTGTGGAACAGCATGGTTTTAGAGCAGGTCATTCTTGCTTGACCAACCTTCTTTTGGCCAGAGAAAGTTGGGCAAGCTCAGCTGATGCTAATATACCGGTGGATGCCATATTCATCGACCTTAGCAAGGCGTTTGACAGAGTTTCCCATTCAGGTCTTCTAGTAAAGTTAGGTAGTATGGGAATCAATAAAGTGGTTGCCGACTGGATTCAAGACTTTCTAAAGGACAGAAGACAAAGAGTACGAGTTAACGGGGTTTTATCAACATGGGAATCGGTTAAGAGTGGCGTTCCTCAGGGTACAATTCTAGGCCCACTTCTTTTCCTGATTTATGTTAATGAGATTCCATCGGTAGTTAGGTCATCCTGCTTACTGTTTACTGACGACATCAAGATATGGAGGGCTTTACACGATGACAGTGATCAACTTGCATTGCAGGAAGATTTAAACTTGTTAAGTGATTGGTGTAAGCACTGGGCCTTGGAGATTAACTTAAGCAAGAGTGTAGTTATGTATGTATCTCATAGTCACGTGCACAATTACTCAATGAATGGCATTACTCTCCCGGTGGTCACTGAGTACAGGGACTTGGGAGTGGTTGTGCAGCATGACTTGAAAACAGCAACAAACTGTAGAGCTGCAGCCACTAATGGTTTTCGAATATTATGGGCCATACGCAAAGCTTTTGCGAATTTTGACGCTGAAATATTTCGTATATTATATCCGACTTATATCAGACCTCATTTGGAATATGGGATCCAGGCAGCGAGCCCGTGTTTCAAATACGAAATAGACTTATTAGAAAGGGTGCAAAGAGTAGGAACTAAGCTAATAAAAGGTTTCTCAACCCTCTCATATGAAGAGAGGTTAAGTCGACTGGGTTTATTTCCACTGTCATACAGACGACTTAGGGGTGACCTAATACTAGCATACCGTATCCTAAGAAATGATTTTGGAGCAAATTTATCTAATTTATTTCTTCCTTCTAGCACCAACCAATTGCGAGGACATCACCTCAAGGTTCAAAAACCACGGTCGAATCGTCTGCGTTTGGAGATCCGTTTTTCGCATCGGATTGTGAACCATTGGAACTCCTTACCGGAACACGTCGTATCAGCGCCATCCGTTGATTCATTCAAGGCGAGATTGGACCTCCTGTGTGTAACAAATCGAAAGGATTAACACAGGCATATAGCCTACTATCCTAAATAAATTGTAAACTGTAAACT